GCCTGTTTTGGCAGCGCCCCTCGCGTCTTCAGAGTCAACGGGCTTTCCAAGGCTCCGGCTAGCACTCAGACATTTGAGCTGGATGGGAAAGAAACGACCGTTGCAAAGTACTTCAAGTCTCGGAAGTATGATTTAAAGTTTCCGAACCTTCTCTGCTTGCATGTTGGGCCGCCGTTGAAAAACATTTATTTGCCTATCGAACTATGTCGCATTGACGATGGACAGACAATGAAGGTGAGTTAAAAATCTCCCAAGCTCCCAGCGGGGAGCTTCCTGCTTTTATTTGTTTCATCTGTATCTGTATCGTATCGCAGCGCAAGGATACTGCTGCTCGGGTGGCGGCCATGCTTAAGTTTGCTGCCACGTCAACCAACGAGAGGAAGGCCAAGATCGTCCGCCTACTGGAATATTTCAAGCACAATTTAGACCCGACCATCAGCCACTTTGGCATACGCCTGGGCACTGACTTCATCGTCGTGAATACACGCACGCTCAATGCGCCTCAGATTGAGTACAAAAACAACAATTTGGCTTCGGTGAGGAACGGTTCGTGGCGCATGGATCGGATGCAATTCTTTGAACCCAAGCCAAAGCCACATAAGTGGGCCATACTCTTCGGTAAGATTAACTACCAGTATGTGGACGAGCTTCAGAAGATGGTAAGTTTTGCAGCATTGCAGCATTTCAAACAGATCCGATCCTAATCCGACTAATTTTCGTCGCAGGTTCTTCAGCAGAGTCGCACCGTCAATCTGTGCCTGGATACCAAAGCCGACAAACGGAATTACAAGGACGAACGTGAACTAGATGCTCATTTCCACGATTTCAAAAAAAATCAATTTGATTTGGTGTTCGTTATTATACCAAATGTCGGGCGCTCTTATGATGTCGTCAAGCAAAAGGCTGAGCTGAAGTACGGCATTCTCACGCAATGCCTCAAGCAAATCACAGTCGAGCGTAAATGCAACCCGCAGTGTATTGGTAACGTTCTACTTAAGGTCAATTCCAAGTTGAACGGTATTAATCACAAGCTAAGGGATGACCCGCGCTGTCTGTTAAAGAACACAATGTTTTTGGGGGCCGATGTGACTCATCCGTCGCCCGATCAGTGGGAGATGCCCAGTGTGGTGGGTGTTGCCGCCTCCCATGATCCATTCGGGGCTTCATATAACATGCAATATCGCTTGCAACGCTCTACCCTGGAGGAGATCGAGGACATGGAGTCGATAACCCTGGAGCACTTGCGTGTTTATTATCAGTTCCGGAAATCCTATCCCGAGCACATCATCTATTACCGTGATGGTGTCAGCCATGGTCAGTACCCCAAGATCAAAAGTAAAGAGTTGAGAGGAATTACTGCGGCCTGCTGCAAGGTACCGTTGCATCCGTTGCATCCAGATTTTGTTGTCATTTTCAATCGCTACTCGACCGTTCGCCTTTCAGATGCACATTAAACCCAAGATTTGCTGCGTCATTGTAGTTAAGCGGCATCATACGCGCTTCTTTCCGAACGGAGCTCCATCGCAATATAACCAGTTGAACAATGTCGATCCGGGAACCGTCGTCGATCGCACCATTGTCCATCCCAATGAGATGGAGTTCTTCATGGTCAGCCATCAGGCGAATCAGGGGACGGCCAAGCCGACGCGTTACAACGTAATTGAGAATACGGGCAACTTGGATATTGATGTACTGCAGCAATTGACATTCAATCTTTGTCACATGTTTCCTCGTTGCAACCGCGCAGTGTCTTATCCGGCTCCGGCATATTTGGCACATTTGGCTGCGGCACGTGGACGTGTCTACCTCACTGGGTGCGATATTAATACTATTATTATTATTGTTTCATATATTCGTTCTGATAACGTCTTGACTAATATCTTGATCGCTTTTCTTCCAGCACCACCATGTTCCGTTCTCCACAGGAGGAGTACGCAAAGCGTTTGATTGTTCCAGACTTCATGAAGACGAATCCTATGTACTTCGTGTAGGCATCAGAAAACAGCTTCACTTCTGCCTATATGCCTATAGTAATTCAATTCAAATATGATTATTCTTTATCAATTTTATCAATTGAATATTTTATCATTATCATTATGTAAGGGGCACCTACTCGGCTCTACTCTACTCTACGTTGTAGCTATATGACACTAGATTTTGCTCACTCTGTTGCGAAGGGAGAGAATAGCATGAGAGACAATACGCCAAATTGGTGTTCGTAGCCGTCTCCAGACACGTCTTCCGGCTATCAGTCGAATAATTGAGGCACGATTTGCGACAAAATTGTTTTCCAGTACAGCCAGCCAGCCAGCAAAATTGGATCTGAAAAGTGCAACAATCGATAATCTCTGCGCTGCTCCAAGCTCAACTATCTCTCGCTCCCACTGCATGCTTTTCCTAAGGCTGTCCCTGTTTTTGCAGCTAGGCATTCTAGGCAAAGTCTATTGTCATACAGCTATTAGTGTTGCAAAGGTGTGGTATTGGTGTGGTTTAATGAGCTAAGGGTCTGATTAAAAAATCTCAGCAGCGTGCTAGTGCTGCTCACCAAATCGGTTGGTTGAGCCTTTCGAGAGTTTTAGTTTTAGACATTGTTTTAATGGTATATTTGGAAATATATTTGTATTTTAGTATATTTCTAATTGAAAAATTTTGTTAAAATAGTACGTCTCGTCACCAGGTTTAAATGAAAACGAGGGGGAACGTTTATACATTTAAAGCCAATGCTTAGTCAGTATGGCTCTCCTCCGGCAGACGCCGCTAATATTAAACGACACGACAAAGAGTGTGTGCGAGAGAGACAGAAAATCAGTCTGAGCGTGACGTCGGGCGCTGCGTAACCACTGCTATAAAAATGATTCAGCAATCTGATAGATTGCTATGATTCTGCGTTTTTAGTTTTCTCGAATCTGCAATATTGTAGACGCAACAGATTTTTGTCCTTTGTTTGGGTGGAAGGGGGTGGGGCGAAATTTTGAGGTATACGTTTTATACTGAGGTCTAACAGAAGTGCGGATACCAAATTTGATTACTCTAGCCTTAATAGTCTCCGAGATTTGTGGATGCCCCAGATTTTCGTCCTTTGCGGGGGCGGAAGGGGGTGTGGCGAAATTTTGACACAAAACGGTCAAGGTCCGATATCACAGGAGTCTGGATATCAAATTTGGTTGCTCTGGCTCTTATAGGTTCTGAGATCCTTGAACTCATATTTTGCAATTGGCAAAAACCGACCATGACAACTGTGTGTTAGAGAGAGACAGAGCGAGAAAGAATGAAATTGTTTTCTTGATTCTGGCTATAATAATTATACGATCTGGTTCAGATTTTGCACTTTAGAGCATATAATCATCCTCTACGACTCTGCGTTTTGCGTTTTCTCATAACTTTAAAATTGTAGATGCCACAGATTTTCGCCTTTTGTGGAGGCGGAAGTGGGCGGGGCAAAGTTTTGAAATATACTTGTAGCAGTGACATATCACAGAAGTCCGGATATAAAACGTCGTTGCTCTAGCTCTTGTAATCTTTGAGCACTAGGCGCTGAAAGGGACGGACAGACAGACAGGGCTCAATCGACTCGGCTATTGATGCTGATCAAGAATATATATACTTTATGGGTCGGAAACGATTCCTTCTGGACGTTGCACACATCCATTTTCACCACAAATCTAATATACCCCAATACTCATTTTGAGTATCGGGTATAAAAAATGAACTTAGGTGCTGGAAAATGGGGTTATTTATTTTTGTAATATTTTCCATGAAGGCCTTTGGGGCCCTTTGATCTCTTTAAGACATCCATACGTCTATTTTTGATTTTGCCGTTCTCCACGCTGCTGTAGGGCGCCAGAAGTGGCGGAGCTTGTGGATGGAGTGGGAGTGGCCGTGGGCGGGGGTGGGGCTGGGGCTCCAGTGAGTTAATTAGGTCTGTACTGACCGCCGGTTCAACAGCAGCTGCTTATTATTTTAGTGAAAATCGAACAAAATATTTGACTCCATTGATTTCCACTAAGGAAAGGAGTGAAATCTTTCATGCACATGTCAATCCACACAAAATTGTTTCATCAGAGGTTCTGCTATTTTTCATGCGCTCAAGCAAGTAAATTATATCAAATGATTGACCAATGGTTCGATACAATTTAAATGCAATCGAAATTAATTCGCGGTGCAGTCAAAATAGTCAATAAATAAACCGTATTTTCCCTCAATTGAGATCATTCTTTCCTCTCTCGCTTAGTCTTAAGTAGTACTTTCTTTCATATTTCCACAAAACACAGGAGTAGCACCGTCCCCTGTAGGGACAGCCCAGAGGGCATTATTACGAGTATTTCATTAACACTTATCCCTTGACATATCCATGTTTCTTTGATCACCCCCTGTATTCGCATTTAGGCTACGAAAATAGACTAGCCAGATTGTAAAATGAACCAAAACCGGAATCAGCTCCAGAGAATCGCCAAGAGCATCACCAGCAACCATCACCACTACCTCAACATGACAAAGCGGCAGCACAAAGTCACCTCAAACAGGGGAAATCACGCTACGTTACGCCACACAGAGTGGGGAAATAACGAAACGACAATACCACGAAAGCTCGACGATCGCTCTCACGCCCACGTCATACCGCCAGAGCAGCCGGTGCCAAGAGAGCCGGGCGACTATATTAAAAGAGCCAGCATGGATAGAGGGAGAAGGGAATACCGACCCTCTCACACCCGCAAGCAGAGGCCAGCAGCAGAAAGCTACAAAATAGCAGAGCGGCATATGGGTTGCAAAAAGGGGAAAAGCGTGCCCTGGCACGTACTATCCCGGGCCAGGCTCAGGAGAGATCTTCGAAATCGCAAATGGGACGGTTGGACCAACCAGGACTTCAAGCGGCGGACGAAGCGACCCGTTCACCCGCACACACGTGCGCCGGCTACTGCGTAGCTCTGGTCGACAGTAGACAGAGTAGAGTGAGTAGAGTGTGCCCCTCACATGATGATAATGATAAAATATTCAATTGATAAAATTGACAAAGAATAATCATATTTGAATTGAATTACTATAGGCATATAGGCAGAAGTGAAGCTGTTTTCTGATGCCTACACGAAGTACATAGGATTCGTCTTCATGAAGTCTGGAACAATCAAACGCTTTGCGTACTCCTCCTGTGGAGAACGGAACATGGTGGTGCTGGAAGAAAAGCGGTCAAGATATTAGTCAAGACGTTATCAGAACGAATATATGAAACAATAATAGTATTAATATCGCACCCAGTGAGGTAGACACGTCCACGTGCCGCAGCCAAATGTGCCAAATATGCCGGAGCCGGATAAGACACTGCGCGGTTGCAACGAGGAAACATGTGACAAAGATTGAATGTCAATTGCTGCAGTACATCAATATCCAAGTTGCCCGTATTCTCAATTACGTTGTAACGCGTCGGCTTGGCCGTCCCCTGATTCGCCTGATGGCTGACCATGAAGAACTCCATCTCATTGGGATGGACAATGGTGCGATCGACGACGGTTCCCGGATCGACATTGTTCAACTGGTTATATTGCGATGGAGCTCCGTTCGGAAAGAAGCGCGTATGATGCCGCTTAACTACAATGACGCAGCAAATCTTGGGTTTAATGTGCATCTGAAAGGCGAACGGTCGAGTAGCGATTGAAAATGACAACAAAATCTGGATGCAACGGTTCAAATTACCTTGCAGCAGGCCGCAGTAATTCCTCTCAACTCTTTACTTTTGATCTTGGGGTACTGACCATGGCTGACACCATCACGGTAATAGATGATGTGCTCGGGATAGGATTTCCGGAACTGATAATAAACACGCAAGTGCTCCAGGGTTATCGACTCCATGTCCTCGATCTCCTCCAGGGTAGAGCGTTGCAAGCGATATTGCATGTTATATGAAGCCCCGAATGGATCATGGGAGGCGGCAACACCCACCACACTGGGCATCTCCCACTGATCGGGCGACGGATGAGTCACATCGGCCCCCAAAAACATTGTGTTCTTTAACAGACAGCGCGGGTCATCCCTTAGCTTGTGATTAATACCGTTCAACTTGGAATTGACCTTAAGTAGAACGTTACCAATACACTGCGGGTTGCATTTACGCTCGACTGTGATTTGCTTGAGGCATTGCGTGAGAATGCCGTACTTCAGCTCAGCCTTTTGCTTGACGACATCATAAGAGCGCCCGACATTTGGTATAATAACGAACACCAAATCAAATTGATTTTTTTTGAAATCGTGGAAATGAGCATCTAGTTCACGTTCGTCCTTGTAATTCCGTTTGTCGGCTTTGGTATCCAGGCAAAGATTGACGGTGCGACTCTGCTGAAGAACCTGCGACGAAAATTAGTCGGATTAGGATCGGATCTGTTTGAAATGCTGCAATGCTGCAATGCTGCAAAACTTACCATCTTCTGAAGCTCGTCCACATACTGGTAGTTAATCTTACCGTAGAGTATGGCCCACTTATGTGGCTTTGGCTTGGGTTCAAAGAATTGCATCCGATCCATGCGCCACGAACCGTTCCTCACCGAAGCCAAATTGTTGTTTTTGTACTCAATCTGAGGCGCATTGAGCGTGCGTGTATTCACGACGATGAAGTCAGTGCCCAGGCGTATGCCAAAGTGGCTGATGGTCGGGTCTAAATTGTGCTTGAAATATTCCAGTAGGCGGACGATCTTGGCCTTCCTCTCGTTGGTTGACGTGGCAGCAAACTTAAGCATGGCCGCCACCCGAGCAGCAGTATCCTTGCGCTGCGATACGATACAGATACAGATGAAACAAATAAAAGCAGGAAGCTCCCCGCTGGGAGCTTGGGAGATTTTTAACTCACCTTCATTGTCTGTCCATCGTCAATGCGACATAGTTCGATAGGCAAATAAATGTGTTTCAACGGCGGCCCAACATGCAAGCAGAGAAGGTTCGGAAACTTTAAATCATACTTCCGAGACTTGAAGTACTTTGCAACGGTCGTTTCTTTCCCATCCAGCTCAAATGTCTGAGTGCTAGCCGGAGCCTTGGAAAGCCCGTTGACTCTGAAGACGCGAGGGGCGCTGCCAAAACAGGCAGGCGGGTCGTAAATTATATTAATGTCACTTAGGAATGACTCAATATCAGAACGCCTGTAGTCAAGATTTGTGCTTTTGTCAATTTTCTGCCTCTGATACTGCTCTATATAGTCAATGATCGACATGGCCTTCGGAAAGGCCTTGTGTGATATGTCCACATTAACAAACGGGCGATCGCCAAGCACGAATGTTTGATAGAGCCCAACCAGAGCTTCGTAGCCGTCTTTAAGATCAAAGGTGTTTCCGGGATCAGACCCTTTGAAGAAGGAGCGACCGGCGCGTCTAGCGGTGTTATGACAGGGAGCCGCCAACACAACCTCCAGACACTGCAAGGCTCGCATGGGCTTATCATAAATCTTGTCCTTCATGTAGCTGCAAAAATGGAAAACTGCACACATTCGGTTCAATTCGTTCAATTCGGTTCACTCACCTTCTTAGTGAGCTCAAATCGACTTCCGAGTCCTGTGTCTTCCTGAGCTCCACAGTGTAATTCAAGGTACGGCCGTGGCGATCTGTTACCTGGACGACAAGACGACAAGAGGACAAGAGGCAAGTTTCACTTCAAAAGCACATCAAACTCAGCGAAATATACAACACTTACCTTCATTTCTTGGCCCTGGGGGCTGCATTTTAGTTTCACAACTGAGTAGCACGATCCACGTCCATCATATGCGGCAATCGCACCGCCCAAATGTTCAACTCTGTACTGCTCAAAAGCCTGACGATAGAACTTCTTAGGACATACTGACGTGATCTTCACATCGTACTGATAGGCCACCGCAGGCATTTTATCCAAGTTAACTTCGAGATAATTAACAGATACTTGACCTGGTTTTCCCAAAGTTCCACGTTTCATGGTGGCTGCTGGGAGTGGCGGCACCACTTTTTGGGTCTGAGGGAGCAGATTCTGCAGATTCTGCAGAGGCTGCAGAGGCAGACCTCGGTTCTGGGCTCTTGGCCATTTTGGGAGTTCGTCTTGCGGTTTTGGTGGACCATAGCACTGGGAGCCTCCTTGGTGTTGTTCATTGTGGCCCTGAAGACGCCGTTGTACTGTCTGCTGTTGCTGGTTCTGTTTTTCTATAGGATCGCGGTGTTGTCCGCGCTGTTGTGGAAGTTGCTGCTGCCGCTGCTGCTGCTGCCGCTGCTGCTGCTGCCGCTGCTGCTGCTGCCGCTGCTGCTGCTGCTTTCCGCCCCAGCCTTCCCCGGCCTTATCGCGCCTCTTCTGACACCCCTGTGTCTGCCATTCTCCTTGCTCCTCTTCCTGCTTCTGCTTCTGCAAGCCAGAGGCGGCAGGACCTCCATACGGAGGGTGAGTAACCTTGTCTCCTTCCGCAGACGCACCTGTAGCTAAAGATTCGTGAAGAAGAGTGGAATAATTAATGGTAAGTAATCGATACACGGACCTGCGGTAACAAATTTAAAGCAAAACAAAATACCCTCAATGGACCGCGATTTATCAAGGTCACGGTTATTTTCTAACTAAATTTCAAAGCTTCATTGCTACCCACTTGAAATGGAAACCATCAAGTATGCCTTTGAGTAAAATGTCAAAATTTACTAAATATTTTTTTGTTAAATTCGAACGAAATATCGCCCTCTAGAGGTAGCTTTCTGATAGAAACATACCTAATTAAAACAAAAACGAAAAGTCGCGATTCATCTAGGGGTCTACTGCTATTTGGCTACATTCTGAGCAACGTATTTGGAGGCCGTATATGGCACATTCACAGAACACAGAACACAGAACTCAGGAAGGTCCAACTCATTGAAATTGCAACTCATTCCTCCCAAAACGTACATCTTAAAAGTAAACAACGTACAGCCAGGGTCGAAACAATCCTTCACTTACCTTTTACTTGATGCTCTTGGAGGGGCTTGCCGAAGTACCGCTCGATGGTTGGTTTGGTTGGTTTTTCGGCATTCGGTTTATATTCTAATCGGAATAAATGTATTTTATTAAACAAATTCGCATGGGTACTTTTTACTTTTCACTTTTCACTTTCAGTTTTGTATTTCACTCACTATTTTCCTTTCCCATTTTTATATTTTTATTTGTATTATTTTTATTTTTGTTGAATTTTATATCTGTTCCCGACGACTGAATTGTTTCGAATGACTGCAATATTTATTTCCTGTTTTCTGATGCCAAATTTTTTACTCGAAATATGTTTGACGTATAGCACTGTGCTGTGTGATCGATTCTAATAGTCTTGTAGTCGAATCTGGTAGTAAATGATTAATTTTCATTTGGTGTGCAGTTTCAACTATCCTAGAAATTCTCTAAATAACATTTTGTACACCGGGTACTCGAAGAGTTTTGGGATACGTAGGCTGCTATTTATATTTCAGACCTAACAATAAACGAGGGGGAACGTTGTGAGTTGCTGCGGAGACCGCAACTCTACAGTTATACCCGACTGATACCCGAAAATCAGTCTGAGCGTGACGTCGGGCGCTGCGTAGCCACTGCTATAAAAATGATCCGATCTAATCCAAATTCAGCGATCTGATAGATATGGTCATTCTCTATGATTCTGCGTTTTTAGTTTTCTCGAATCTGCAATATTGTAGACGCAACAGATTTTTGTCCTTTGTTGTGAAGGAACGGGGTGGGGCGATGTTTTGAGATATACTTTTTATACTGAGGTCTAACAGAAGTGCGGATACCAAATTTGATTACTCTAGCCTTAATAGTCTCTGAGATTTTTGGATGCCCCAGATTTTCGTCCTTTCGGCATAAGCTCTAGTATTACAAATTTTAAGTTTGGCAGCTGTACTTAGACCCTCCTCACCTTAACTCCTGCTCGAAACATCTCGAAACATCTTGTAAAGACATCTAAGCCATCCCCATATTTCGACACCCAATGTTCGTTTGTCCCCTCCATATGTCTGTATGTACCTAGGGTTACATTTTTGTTGACAAAACCATATCAAATAAATTATCCAATAAAGAAGAAGGCAAAATATCAGAATATTGTAAAAAATTGATTCATTTATCTTATCAAATTATGTGTTCAGTGCTTGGATCTTAGCTAGCTAGTAGTATTACTCCGAATATTAAAGTCAAGTAAAAAATATATCCAAAAATGGATATTCTAAACGAATCTGTTGCTCTCGGCGTCGATTTAATTATTTTAGGCATCTGCGTACGTGAATATATGTACAACAAGAGGGTTGCAGGACTATTAAAGACTGCACCGCAATACAACATCGATGGAGATCTCAAATCCATTGTTGAACGGCAACAGACCAAAAGTATACCATATGCGGTGATCCGGGGTACTGTCACGCCCATTGGCGTGCCCTTGCGCAGCTCGCTGGTTCCCAGTGTCAGCGGAGTGCTGCAGATTGTGAAGCTCCACGAGCACCGGATATCCCGGGGCTTTTCCGGCTTGTGGATGGAACAGTGCAAGCTTCTGCATAAATCTACCAACGAGATGCCCTTCGAGTTGCGCAGTCAAGAGCATGGCGTGGAGATTGTGGATGTCCTGAGCGCAGCTGTTCTTGATGTGGACGTTGTCTACGACAGCTACGAGCCCTCTACACTCTCCGCCTTTGACCACATCTTCGGATTCTTCAGTGGCGTACGACAAAAAGGCATCCAGACCACGGAGGAAGTTCTGCGCGAGGGCAGCTTCCTGACAGCCATCGGAAAGCTAGAGCTGGATGGAAACTCATTGCGTATGCAACCTTCACCGGAAGGATCAGACCCTTTGAAGAAGGAGCGACCGGCGCGTCTAGCGGTGTTATGACAGGGAGCCGCCAACACAACCTCCAGACACTGCAAGGCTCGCATGGGCTTATCATAAATCTTGTCCTTCATGTAGCTGCAAAAATGGAAAACTGCACACATTCGGTTCAATTCGTTCAATTCGGTTCACTCACCTTCTTAGTGAGCTCAAATCGACTTCCGAGTCCTGTGTCTTCCTGAGCTCCACACCTGGACGACAAGAGGACAAGAGGACAAGAGGCAAGTTTCACTTCAAAAGCACATCAAACTCAGCGAAATATACAACACTTACCTTCATTTCTTGGCCCTGGGGGCTGCATTTTAGTTTCACAACTGAGTAGCACGATCCACGTCCATCATATGCGGCAATCGCACCGCCCAAATGTTCAACTCTGTACTGCTCAAAAGCCTGACGATAGAACTTCTTAGGACATACTGACGTGATCTTCACATCGTACTGATAGGCCACCGCAGGCATTTTATCCAAGTTAACTTCGAGATAATTAACAGATACTTGACCTGGTTTTCCCAAAGTTCCACGTTTCATGGTGCCTGCTGGGAGTGGCGGCACCACTTTTTGGGTCTGAGGGAGCAGATTCTGCAGATTCTGCAGAGGCTGCAGAGGCAGACCTCGGTTCTGGGCTCTTGGCCATTTTGGGAGTTCGTCTTGCGGTTTTGGTGGACCATAGCACTGGGAGCCTCCTTGGTGTTGTTCATTGTGGCCCTGAAGACGCCGTTGTACTGTCTGCTGTTGCTGGTTCTGTTTTTCTATAGGATCGCGGTGTTGTCCGCGCTGTTGTGGAAGTCGCTGCTGCCGCTGCTGCTGCTGCCGCTGCTGCTGCTGCTGCTTTCCGCCCCAGCCTTCCCCGGCCTTATCGCGCCTCTTCTGACACCCCTGTGTCTGCCATTCTCCTTGCTCCTCTTCCTGCTTCTGCTTCTGCTTCTGCAAGCCAGAGGCGGCAGGACCTCCATACGGAGGGTGAGTAACCTTGTCTCCTTCCGCAGACGCACCTGTAGCTAAAGATTCGTGAAGAAGAGTGGAATAATTAATGGTAAGTAATCGATACACGGACCTGCGCTAGCAAATCTAAAGCAAAACAAAATACCCTCAATGGACCGCGATTTATCAAGGTCACGGTTATTTTCTAACTAAATTTCAAAGCTTCATTGCTACCCACTTGAAATGGAAACCATCAAGTATGCCTTTGAGTAAAATGTCAGAATTTACTAAATATTTTTTTGTTAAATTCGAACGAAATATCGCCCCCTAATTAAAACAAAAACGAAAAGTCGCGATTCATCTAGGGGTCTACTGCTATTTGGCTACATTCTGAGCAACGTATTTGGAGGCCGTATATGGCACATTCACAGAACACAGAACACAGAACTCAGGAAGGTCCAACTCATTGAAATTGCAACTCATTCCTCCCAAAACGTACATCTTAAAAGTAAACAACGTACAGCCAGGGTCGAAACAATCCTTCACTTACCTTTTACTTGATGCTCTTGGAGGGGCTTGCCGAAGTACCGCTCGATGGTTGGTTTGGTTGGTTTTTCGGCATTCGGTTTATATTCTAATCGGAATAAATGTATTTTATTAAACAAATTCGCATGGGTACTTTTTACTTTTCACTTTTCACTTTCAGTTTTGTATTTCACTCACTATTTTCCTTTCCCATTTTTATATTTTTATTTGTATTATTTTTATTTTTGTTGAATTTTATATCTGTTCCCGACGACTGAATTGTTTCGAATGACTGCAATATTTATTTCCTGTTTTCTGATGCCAAACTTTTTACTCGAAATATGTTTGACGTATAGCACTGTGCTGTGTGATCGATTCTAATAGTCTTGGAGTCGAATCTGGTAGTAAATGATTAATTTTCATTTGGTGTGCAGTTTCAACTATCCTAGAAATTCTCTAAATAACATTTTGTACACCGGGTACTCGAAGAGTTTTGGGATACGTAGGCTGCTATTTATATTTCAGACCTAACAATAAACGAGGGGGAACGTTGTGAGTTGCTGCGGAGACCGCAACTCTACAGTTATACCCGACTGATACCCGAAAATCAGTCTGAGCGTGACGTCGGGCGCTGCGTAGCCACTGCTATAAAAATGATCCGATCTAATCCAAATTCAGCGATCTGATAGATATGGTCATTCTCTATGATTCTGCGTTTTTAGTTTTCTCGAATCTGCAATATTGTAGACGCAACAGATTTTTGTCCTTTGTTGTGAAGGAACGGGGTGGGGCGATGTTTTGAGATATACTTTTTATACTGAGGTCTAACAGAAGTGCGGATACCAAATTTGATTACTCTAGCCTTAATAGTCTCTGAGATTTTTGGATGCCCCAGATTTTCGTCCTTTCGGCATAAGCTCTAGTATTACAAATTTTAAGTTTGGCAGCTGTACTTAGACCCTCCTCACCTTAACTCCTGCTCGAAACATCTCGAAACATCTTGTAAAGACATCTAAGCCATCCCCATATTTCGACACCCAATGTTCGTTTGTCCCCTCCATATGTCTGTATGTACCTAGGGTTACATTTTTGTTGACAAAACCATATCAAATAAATTATCCAATAAAGAAGAAGGCAAAATATCAGAATATTGTAAAAAATTGATTCATTTATCTTATCAAATTATGTGTTCAGTGCTTGGATCTTAGCTAGCTAGTAGTATTACTCCGAATATTAAAGTCAAGTAAAAAATATATCCAAAAATGGATATTCTAAACGAATCTGTTGCTCTCGGCGTCGATTTAATTATTTTAGGCATCTGCGTACGTGAATATATGTACAACAAGAGGGTTGCAGGACTATTAAAGACTGCACCGCAATACAACATCGATGGAGATCTCAAATCCATTGTTGAACGGCAACAGACCAAAAGTATACCATATGCGGTGATCCGGGGTACTGTCACGCCCATTGGCGTGCCCTTGCGCAGCTCGCTGGTTCCCAGTGTCAGCGGAGTGCTGCAGATTGTGAAGCTCCACGAGCACCGGATATCCCGGGGCTTTTCCGGCTTGTGGATGGAACAGTGCAAGCTTCTGCATAAATCTACCAACGAGATGCCCTTCGAGTTGCGCAGTCAAGAGCATGGCGTGGAGATTGTGGATGTCCTGAGCGCAGCTGTTCTTGATGTGGACGTTGTCTACGACAGCTACGAGCCCTCTACACTCTCCGCCTTTGACCACATCTTCGGATTCTTCAGTGGCGTACGACAAAAAGGCATCCAGACCACGGAGGAAGTTCTGCGCGAGGGCAGCTTCCTGACAGCCATCGGAAAGCTAGAGCTGGATGGAAACTCATTGCGTATGCAACCTTCACCGGAAGGATCAGACCCTTTGAAGAAGGAGCGACCGGCGCGTCTAGCGGTGTTATGACAGGGAGCCGCCAACACAACCTCCAGACACTGCAAGGCTCGCATGGGCTTATCATAAATCTTGTCCTTCATGTAGCTGCAAAAATGGAAAACTGCACACATTCGGTTCAATTCGTTCAATTCGGTTCACTCACCTTCTTAGTGAGCTCAAATCGACTTCCGAGTCCTGTGTCTTCCTGAGCTCCACAGTGTAATTCAAGGTACGGCCGTGGCGATCTGTTACCTGGACGACAAGACGACAAGAGGACAAGAGGACAAGAGGACAAGAGGCAAGTTTCACTTCAAAAGCACATCAAACTCAGCGAAATATACAACACTTACCTTCATTTCTTGGCCCTGGGGGCTGCATTTTAGTTTCACAACTGAGTAGCACGATCCACGTCCATCATATGCGGCAATCGCACCGCCCAAATGTTCAACTCTGTACTGCTCAAAAGCCTGACGATAGAACTTCTTAGGACATACTGACGTGATCTTCACATCGTACTGATAGGCCACCGCAGGCATTTTATCCAAGTTAACTTCGAGATAATTAACAGATACTTGACCTGGTTTTCCCAAAGTTCCACGTTTCATGGTGCCTGCTGGGAGTGGCGGCACCACTTTTTGGGTCTGAGGGAGCAGATTCTGCAGAGGCTGCAGAGGCAGACCTCGGTTCTGGGCTCTTGGCCATTTTGGGAGTTCGTCTTGCGGTTTTGGTGGACCATAGCACTGGGAGCCTCCTTGGTGTTGTTCATTGTGGCCCTGAAGACGCCGTTGTACTGTCTGCTGTTGCTGGTTCTGTTTTTCTATAGGATCGCGGTGTTGTCCGCGCTGTTGTGGAAGTCGCTGCTGCCGCTGCTGCTGCTGCCGCTGCTGCTGCTGCTGCTTTCCGCCCCAGCCTTCCCCGGCCTTATCGCGCCTCTTCTGACACCCCTGTGTCTGCCATTCTCCTTGCTCCTCTTCCTGCTTCTGCTTCTGCTTCTGCAAGCCAGAGGCGGCAGGACCTCCATACGGAGGGTGAGTAACCTTGTCTCCTTCCGCAGACGCACCTGTAGCTAAAGATTCGTGAAGAAGAGTGGAATAATTAATGGTAAGTAATCGATACACGGACCTGCGCTAGCAAATCTAAAGCAAAACTAAATACCGCGATACCTCAATGGACCGCGATTTATCAAGGTCACGGTTATTTTCTAACTAAATTTCAAAGCTTCATTGCTACCCACTTGAAATGGAAACCATCAAGTATGCCTTTGAGTAAAATGTCAAAATTTACTAAATATTTTTTTGTTAAATTCGAACGAAATATCGCCCTCTAGAGGTAGCTTTCTGATAGAAACATACCTAATTAAAACAAAAACGAAAAGTCGCGATTCATCTAGGGGTCTACTGCTATTTGGCTACATTCTGAGCAACGTATTTGGAGGCCGTATATGGCACATTCACAGAACACAGAACACAGAACTCAGGAAGGTCCAACTCATTGAAATTGCAACTCATTCCTCCCAAAACGTACATCTTAAAAGTAAACAACGTACAGCCAGGGTCGAAACAATCCTTCACTTACCTTTTACTTGATGCTCTTGGAGGGGCTTGCCGAAGTACCGCTCGATGGTTGGTTTGGTTGGTTTTTCGGCATTCGGTTTATATTCTAATCGGAATAAATTTATTTTATTAAACAAATTCGCATGGGTACTTTTTACTTTTCACTTTTCACTTTCAGTTTTGTATTTCACTCACTATTTTCCTTTCCCATTTTTATATTTTTATTTGTATTATTTTTATTTTTGTTGAATTTTATATCTGTTCCCGACGACTGAATTGTTTCGAATGACTGCAATATTTATTTCCTGTTTTCTGATGCCAAATTTTTTACTCGAAATATGTTTGACGTATAGCACTGTGCTGTGTGATCGATTCTAATAGTCTTGGAGTCGAATCTGGTAGTAAATGATTAATTTTCATTTGGTGTGCAGTTTCAACTATCCTAGAAATTCTCTAAATAACATTTTGTATACCGGGTACTAGAAGAGTTTAGGGATACGTAGGCTGCTATTTATATTTCAGACCTAACAATAAAAAATGAACTTAGGCGCTGGAAAATGGGTTTATTTATTTTTGTAATATTTTCCATGAAGGCCTTTGGGGCCCTTGGATCACTTTAAGACATCCACATTTCTATTGCTGATTTTGCCGTTCTCCACGCTGCTGTAGGGCGCCAGAAGTGGCGGAGCTTGTGGATGGAGTGGGAGAGCCGTGGGCGGAGGTGGGGCTCCAGTGAGTTGATTAGGTCTGTACTGACCGCCGGTACAACAGCAGCTGCTTATTATTTTATTGAAAAACGAACAAAGTGCATCGCTTAGAACTGAAGGGCAGAGTACAACTTTACGGGGAGTCACTTCAAGAGTTCGCGACAGACAAAGAGCGACTCTCACACCAGACTTATAATGATGCCCCCACCGACTTTCTGGAGAGATGCAAAGTCAATGGTTTTATAGACGGTATCAAGGACTTAGAGACACGCCGCTCAATGCTACTGATGCAGAGAAAGCGTATGAGGAAGCGTTCAGTCAACCATTGACCTTTGAAACATCACTATTGATGCATATGCCGTCCGTCACCAAAAGTGCCCACTGTACAAACTGAAGTGATTAATGGTATTCGACCGGAAACAACCCAATGACAAGGAGAACTCGACACAGGTGAATCTCATTCTATAATCAAGAGAGGTACTTAATACTTACAGGCAATGTAGAGCCTCTGAACGGCTACAGGTGATGAGGTGATGAAAAAATATCTTAGAATTGCACATATGAGAATTTCGAACAGTATGTTATGTTGCTGATATCGGATTTCATGATCCGTTACGGCTTGCGCTTAAGGTAGCTGGAAGTCCTGCTCTGGTAAAAAGCGGACAATCTTTGGTGAACGGATCGAGAAAGAAGGACTACAGCTCAATCCAGAGAAATGCAAATTTTTCCATCTAGTACATACAGAAGTACTGATTAAGACAAACTACTTTGTCACAAGAAGAGGACTATAAGTACCATAAGTACTATACTACCACCGGCAACAATTTCTACAGTTCAAGGGTCCAGAAGAACAGATCGCCTAATCGATAAGGCGGTTGAATGTTCACGGTCTGAACTTAAAGAAAGCATAATAGACATTCAACCAATGAATGCTCTTCCTGCAGATGAGTGGACAGATGACGAAGTCTGTAAATATCAAGAAGACGATGAGGACCTCGCAATACTTATACATAGAGGGCCAAGAACATAATAGAAGGCCAACTCGGGATGAGATGACAAATAAAAGTCCTGTTGCAAAGGCATATTGGGCTCAGTGGATTGAACCTCAAAAACAGACGTCTATACCGAATTCGGGAAGCGATAAACGATTTATTGGTATTACCAAAGAAACGAAACAGAGCAGTCATTGAAGAATACCACAATGGCGGTAGTGGTGCACACTTGGGCTTTAGTAGGAAAAATGCAAAGCGAAACTAAACGAAATACATCTCGAGAGACTGGCACCTTATCATGGAGGAGACTAGGAACTTATTCGGGACGAAAAAGCTATAGTTTAATGAAAATAGTCTGTCGAGCTCGAAACAGCTGTCGAAAGAGAGACGTATGTATATTCAAAGGTACTAATACTAATACTAGTACCAATAGTTCATAGCATATTATTGACCAATTGCTTTCAAACTGTGCTCAACTCGCGCAAATCGGCAGTTTGCCACCCGGAAAAAACACAGCACTCGGACTGAACACATGTTCAACATTGCCAGCCCGTTCGAATCATTTGAATTTATTCAGACAGGTGGTAGGGCCGAAAATGAGTGACAACGGAAACATGTTCGCCGGCCTGACAGGCGCTCTGATTGATCGCCAACATTTTACTAAAGAATAGATTTGAATAAAACCATTAGTTATTTGATTTTAAAACTTTTTTTGTTTATTTTTAAGTTCTTTGTTGTTTTTTTTTTGTCTTCTAATATGTATATTTTCTCTTCTTTTCTGGTGTTTTTTTTTGTGTGTTTTGGAAAGAAAAGAAAAGTACCTAACAAAATTTGTGTTTTTATTTACTTACAAAAATTAAATTACAATTATAAAGAGATTGTGGTTTTTTCTGTTGGGTTTCTCTTTCCGTGTTTATTTGTTGTTGCTTCTTTATACAATTTCATGATTTGTTGGTTTTTTGTTGCTTTTAATGGTTTAGTTTAACTTCTAGGCGAGAGTTTAAATAGGTAAAATAGGTATTTATTTATGTACTTGTAGTTGACTCTGTTAAGTGGTTTGCTTGTGGGATGATTTGGCTTCTAGTATGAACAAACTGCTATTGGGCCCATGTTGTGTTGTGTGTTGGTGTGTTGGTGTTTATAGCTTAAATTGTATAACAATAACAAATTATTATGGTACAATAGTTTTAGCTTTAATAATAATAATTTAAAAATCAATCCATGCAGGCCAATGAACAAATTACAGAAGAGACAACGGCTGAGTAGAGTGAAGGGGGGGGTTTCATGCGTAACTAAAAACTGTTTTAAGGGGGAGTTCTTCAGAGAGAAGTGGGGCCCAAGTTGTGTGTCTTCTTAATCTTCTTGCTCTGTTGGAAATTTTGAGGCAAATTTCAACATTCGTATTTTTTTTACAATTTGAAATTGATTTTCATTTTATTGTTTAGGTTCTATATATATATATAGATTTTATATATATTACTAGGTTTGTTTTCTTTTTAAAAATTATGTGTGTGTGTGTGGTGTTTTTGTTTTTTTTAGTAATTTACAGACAGTTCTAGTCCGAAATAGGTTCCTGGATGAGAGTAGGAAGTATTCGAACTTATATAAACGTGTATATCGTGTTGCCTATTCTTATACCGCTTATTCCTGATTCTCCTTCTTGCATATTTGTTTAAAGGCTAAAATTGAAATGTTGGTTTTTATAAAATGTTTGCTTATTTTTCTTTTGTGAGGCTGAGTTTTCTTCGTAGAGTAGGTTTTTTTTTTTGCTTAAATTAGTTTTGGGTTATAAATTTAAATGTATAACTTTACGCTTAAAACTTTACACACAACTTAGTTTCATTAAGTTTGCTGATTTTTGTTTTCTCTTATATATTTTGTTTTTTTTTTTTTGTGTTTTGTAGTTTTTGCAATTTATATAATTTAATAATAAATTTGTAATGTGCTGGTTTTGTTTTTGCTTTTTTCTTTTGTTTGCCATTTTTTGTATATAATTTTAAATTATAAACACCCCCAGAATCCCAGAATTTTGTATATATATTTTATGATATATATGTGTGTTTGTGTGTGTGTGTGGGGATGTGTCTCCTCTTAGGGTTCGTAGGGTTCGGAACCGAAGTCAAACAGACGATCGATACCCTCGTTTGCATTGAGCGCATACGGATACTCATTATCATCCGGCGGATTGATGGACACAAAGGCCATATCATGGCTGAAGTCTGTAAAGAAAAGTTGTATGTAAATATCAGAACTTATTTCAAAGCGATTTCGGTTCCCTTCAGTATATTCAGTATTAACACATATATAGACAGAGAGATAGAGTAGATATAGCGAGGCGAGGCGAGGCGAGGCGAGAGATGTTGTGGATGCATGTTTGAAATTCACGCCAGAGCTGAATCTCATGGTGCTACAAAATTTCAATCGCAAAATTAACAATTGGCCCTGGAAATGGTCAGTGTTGTCAGTGCAGACCCACGAGAATTCAGTTCCAAAATGAATTTGACACGAGGACGATATATATTTCAGACGAGGCGTCGGGATTTTTTCAACGATACATATATACAAATTTATACACAAATATTATCACATTTGTTTCTTTTTTTTTGTAAGTGTTTTTTGTTGGGATATGAACAGAATGAATGTACATATGTGTATGTGTGCGTGCGAGTGAATTTATGGTATGTATGGGATGTGGAATGTATGTTAAAAAAGAAAGAACAAAAAAATATGCAAATTACAACCAAAAACTCTTTATAGTACATATATGCATTACTATAACCATTTGTCAGATATAGATTATTGTTTAAGAACCATTTTACCCAAGCAAATTATGAAAACCAAAATATTTCAATTTTGAACTGATTCTCGTTGGCCAAAATTTTGTTTGCAATCAACAAAAATAAAACAAAAACTTAAAACTCGTACGAAAATGTTTTTGGAATTTGGGATAGGGTTTTGAGGTTACTTAAGTATAAACTTCACTTCTTTCACTTTTAAATAAAAAACTTTGGAGTTCACTTTCACTTTTAAATGTTTTTTGGGGGCTATTCACTCATGTTGGTTGGCGAGTTCACGCTCAGCAAGAACTCAGACTGTGATGTGGCTAAATGTCACGCAGGTCACAGAATAAGTTCTTGACAAGAGAGCCTCAAATCGAGTGTTGAACGTATAGCGGTGTGTGATGCACTCACAGTTACTGTTAACGCTACAGATTTCTCTCTCACTGTTAAACAGATCTCACCACTGTACACCATAAGTTAACTTTACAGAGAGTCGTTCCCTCAACTGTTAATAGAAACTAATGTTATTTACATTTAACAGTACAGAGAGAGAGAGGAAAGACAGAAATGTTGTTGCTTTTGCTTTTGCTGTTGCTGCTGTTACTGTTGCCTCATGTGATGAATGATGTACATGAATGAGCGAGCGCACGAGCAAGCACGAACACGAAGTTTACATCGCATGACGATGACAGCTGTTCTTGTGGGTTTGCAGGTGGGTGGCTTGGGTGTGGG